AAAAGTTTCTTAAAAAATTGTTTCCGATCGCCGAAGTTTGTTGAATTTCTTAGAAAACCTGTTGTTAATTGCTATACTGAAGTTGTTAATATCATTACAAAAGTTGTTAACCATTATACTAAAGCTGTAAAAAAATTTTTAAAAATTTTTTTTGACCAACGGAACTCTGGTGACCAATTGTCGGCTGGTCGTCGGAGCTCCGGTGATTGCCGCCACCGGAGCTCCAGTGACTGGCCGGCCAGTAGGGGTTGTGATATTTTAAAAACAATATTTAAAATCAAGGGCAATTTGGTCTTTTCCTTTCACATAATAATCCCAATTTGGTCTCTTGAGACCAAATTAGGATTTCTGAAATTTAACATACCATTTGGGGATTATGAAGTTTAAGTAGCATTTTTTTGTCTTTTTCCCTAAAATTTAATGTTTAAATTCTTATAAATTACTAGCTCATGAAATTTTTCAAGTAAGACGTCCATGAGAGCAGTGAAGTTTAGAACTCATTTTCCTATCACAAAAAGAAATGTAAGGAGCTCAAGGTTTGCAATGCTTTAGATGTTTCATGACTTTCGTTAAGTAAAAGTTTCCTTAGAGTAACAAGATTTCAGAGCTACTTGATTCTTATAAATTTTCTTGCTGAAAATGTTCATATAAGACTAAATAAAATTTTAAATTAATATTTTTCTCACTAAATACATCTATAATAAACACTCAATTTTGAACTCATAGCATGCGATCCTAGAAGAGGCATTCAGAAAATTATTGTACTATTTCTTCTAGTTTTTACTACAACAAAATATTTCTCAATGAAGTTATTACTGTATTGGATAATTCAATCTCATTGAATGTGCATATATTAATTTATTTTCAATGGTGAAAACATATTTGATACAGTTTATCATTAGAATAATAAAGTTGGGTATCAAGAGTATAATTAAATTTTCTTCAATTTTAAAATACTGAATAGTTATTACTCCCATTTTTTTTAGGAAAAAACTACTACTCGTTATAGCTGAGATGAACTAATGACTAAAAGTATGATTTGTAAATTTGATCTCTTAAATTATTTCACCACATATGTGAGTAATCTTTATTGTAGATTAGAAATAAAGGACCAATAGAAAAAATAGTGAAGCATGGATCATTTTATTCTTTATCATAGATAAGAAGCAAACAAGCTAGCAAAAGAGAAACCAAAGTTGCAAAGGGCATAATGTCATAGCACTATCACAACATTTTATTCTTTATTATTATAGATAACAAGTAATAAAGTGGTGGACTTAAATAGAAACAGTGTAACATTCAAACTTTTAGACCTAGAAGTACCAGAAATAGCCTGAATTGGATAAACTACTAGACTCCTTTTGGGCAGAAGTCTCAAAGATGAGAAAGGATGTCATAGCAGTTTCAGGGACTAAACTGCAAAGTAAAAGTTTTCAGGGGCTCAAGTATAATCAAGGCTAAAGGCTCCAGTAAAGTCTTGAAGGGTCCAGAAAGAGAAAAGAGAATAGAAATAGGCCAAAGATTAAGTTAGAAGCCTCAAAGAGATGGTTATATGAAGCTAAGTCCAAGCAGGGACTAAACCATAAATTCAGAAAGTTATGACCAACTGGGGTAAAAATGGAAGATTATACAGAGAATTCCAAGAAAATCCTAGAAAATGGGAAATAATATTCTAAGACTCTTATGCGAAGAGAAATGACGAAAGTACCCCTGAGGCAGCTTAAATAGAATTTATGAGGTTATGGCCGGTAAAAAGTATATTATTTGAGGTAATTATTTAAAATAGCAAGAGACCTCAAAAATGTATACAAAAATGAGATTAAATGGTTGAAAGGTTGTACTAATTTATAAAATTAGTCCGCAACCAAAAGGCCAGTGGAGTGGCTTTAATAAATTAAAAAGCCGATTATGCCGATAAAAGGGTATTTTAGTAAATGAATTTTTATGCAAGGCTTAAAGGAAGTGTTATGGCCTAAGAAAATTCATAGATATTCTCTAGAATTAAAGGGAATTTATGGAGTAAATAGAAGAATTTTCTGAGCTTCAGAAGGCCATAAAGAAAGCCGGAGAAACGTGAGCCAAGTAAATTCGGAGGAAACTTAGGAAACAAGTTTGATCCAACAGCTAGGATCTAATCTCCCTTCTCCTCCATCACTTTTATGACACTTGACATCTTCTAGAAGGTTGAGGTAAGCATGATGCAAGAAGATGATACAATAATGATGTAAAAGTCAACTTGAAATTCCAAGATTGCCCTTACCCTTTCTATTAGCCACCAAGGGCATTTTGGTCCATTCAAGTCAAATTTTTTGCTATAAATAGGCACTCCTCCCCTCATATTTTGGCCAAGCAAGGAAGCATAGGGGAAACTTTGTTACTCTTGCATGTAGAGAGAGAAAGAGCTATTTCTAGTGAGAGAAAGTCCACCTAAGTTCAAGCTTCAAGATCAAGGTATGTGATGGTTATAGCACCTGATTTTATGCCTATTTTGAATTAGTTAATGTGCGTATCTAATTCTGAAATTTGGCATGCTTAAATTATACTCTGTAAGCTTTAAATCCATGGTAGAACACTTCATTTGGATATGTGTATGATTTATGGTGATTTTTCAAAGTTAGGGTTTGAAATCTGGAAACAGTGTTGAACCATTGGAAGAGTGTCGAGTTCCATACAATTTCGGTACTGTTCAGAATAGAATTGATTCCTAAAACTATTTTTCATGTAAAATTAACTTAAGGATATTTCAGTGAGACTTGGAACCACTCAATTTGGATTTTTCTAGAATTAATTATGAATTTTCAAATTTGAGCAAAAATTATGGAATTCCTGCGTGAACAGTACCTGCGAAGCAAATTTTTCAGATTTGATCTTCTTGAATCTAAGGCCATCTAAAGTGGTCCTAATTGACAAGAAATGGATCTTGAGGATGAGAAATAATGAGATTTATGTTAGAAAAGCTAGAAAGAAAACCCTAAGACCAAGAGAAAGGATTGAGGTTCAAGAGAGGTAGTCTTGAATATTATGTAATCTCTTGGTCCTAATAGATTGTATGATCATGTGACTATGTTTAGGACCTTAAAATATCCAAGAGGATGTTTGGTGATGTTAATCGAATTCCCACATGGTTGGAAAGTCAAGGGAGTCAAAGGAAAAGTAAGAGGAAAGCTTGAGATGCAAGGAAGTGAACTTACCTATTGTCATTGCTTGGTATTGTATGCTTGTGTGTTGCCGTGTACATGTTATTGAATGTTATTGTGACATGTTTTAGCTACTGTAATTTCTATTCATGATGAGTAGATTATATCTCCATGGCCATGTATCAAGAAGTTAGCTTTGAGCATGCTAGTATGTCACTAATTAACAAGAGAATAAACAAGTTACATGTAGTGCATTAGCATCCATCTAGCATGATTAATATGGTATTGTTTGCTACTGAGATTCTCCCGAATCTCACCCCCTTCCTAACCAACCATTTAGGTCAATCATCAATGGGCAATAATGGCATGAGAAGCAAGGAGAAGAAAGTGGAGAATTGTTCATGTTAATGAATGATATTATTATTCAATGTGTAATTCTCCTATTATGTAATTGATATTGTGGATGCCTATGATGCCATGTATTTAATTATAATGCTTATGGCATGTATAAAAATGTATGAGTATGAACGGGAAAGATTAAGCCCATGTTATGAATGTTAAAGAAATAAAAAGAATTAATGTAAAGAGATGTTAAGGGATAAAACATAGGTCCTGGAGCAGTGAGTTTATAGCTCTAGTTTGACCTATCAAAAGAATGAGTTAAGTGACGAAATTTGGCAGACTCATAGAACATATCCCAAGCTTTAAAATGAGAGGTAGATCATCTAAATTGGATGTGTACACAAGGAGATACAAATTTTCAAAGTTGAGGCATAGAATCTGGAAGTTCCAGATTTTACAAAATAAACAGTAACATTTATTAATTAAAATGTACGAATTGGGCAAGGATAAGTCTAATTGGATATTTTTCTCTTAAAGAGCATTGAAATATCTTTCTGTAGAATTTTAGACCCTGATACGATTTTTATGGAATTAATTATGAATTTTTGAAGTTGGCCCTGTAATCTGGAACTTAAACAATGAATAGTAACCTGAGTAATTATGTTGAAATTTTAAATCTACGGGCTTGTGTCATGATCTGCTTGAATCATAACGCTTATGAATGCGTACTTTGAGGGGTTAAAGGTAGAACGTTTCAAACAGATTGAGTCTTGGCAGATCGAAACTTGAGAAAGTTTGGGAAGGTGAATTCATCAGCTATGTAGTGCCACTAAGTAAAATGGACTAATTTAGGCCAAGTGAAGTCAGGATAATTCCTTGTCCCATCTAAGCTCAAAATATCTGAAGGAGGTTGAACCACCTTATCTCCTTTAGGGTTCATAAAGAATGCTAAGGACCTACTATTGCACTGGTTGTTCACTACTGCCCTGTGTCGACTGCTTTTGAGCCTCCCATTTGTCAAAGCTTGCAACACCGCATTGAAAATACATATACAAATTCAATTAAGTTGAATGCTAAAAGTGTATAGAGAATAGGTTTAAGGAAAAAGGACGCATATATGTACCATGAAAGTATCACCAATGTTGATGACAAAGGAATTAGGAAGAGGTTCAATAGTGAACCATTTGTTGCCTGAGAAAACTGAGTCCTCCAACATGATCTTGGTGTAGTATGGTGAGTGAGGTTGGGCCACGATGCGGTCCTGTGCCTAGAACCTCAGTGGGAACTTGGCAATAAGGGTAATTGTTGCATCTCATTAAGGAGCATCCATCTGAGAAAAATTCTCTCAGATACATCTGATTTAACCCTAAGCTTATTGATAGAAAATCCATCATCTTTATTCCTAACTCCTTCATTGCTTCATAGTACTTTTAGAAAACCTCCCTAAAAAACTATTCAAAATATGACAAAATCAATGTTTTCTATGCACATGTACATGTTTGTGGAAAAAAAATTACGTACCTAGTTTCATAAAAGTCTTGGCCTAAGGTGGAGACAAAGTAGTCTCTAATAGCAGGTTGTGGATCATCATGAGGAAGCAAGAAAGTGAGGGTCTCCTTCCAAGTTAGGTTAGAAGAGAAGCGTTCAGAATGAGCACCTGGATAGCCTGCCAAGGAACTCTTAGGTTTATAGGCCTTTACTTTTGCATCAACCGGTTGCTTAAAGTAAGCATCCTATGCTGATATGTTTTCTTGATCAAATCGTCATCGACTCCATGATTGATTACTACAAAGAAGTAGTGCACTAGGCAAGCCTATCTGATTTGTTCAATACCTTGATTGATGGCTTTTTGTTCTCCACGTAGGACTCCTCCTAAGTTTATAATTGGTGCTTCCAACTGACCTTGGGCTTATACCAAATATTCCTTTGACCATACACAGTTTTTAGGTAACTCAACCTCGTTCCCAAGCTCACATGGAAACACAAGTTCTTCTTTCCTCTCCTCGTGCTTTTGTTCACTCAACAACACATTTGAAGCCATCTTGTCTCCTTATGCTTATGATGACAAGCACATACGAAACTGATGACTAGTAAGCTTCTTATATAGATGTATGTAAGACTAGTTAGGCCCATTTCATTATGGGATGTTGTGTAATTTACATCTGTCCAAGTTGTGTGGGTCCATCGGGTCAGAAATACATGTGCATGTAATAATATTAAATGGTTCGTTCATTGAATAAAAAAGTGTTCATGTATATGAATTGATTATACTAAGAGTATATACCCTTGCGTCTATTTGTTTATTGAAAAATGTTCATGAATACGTATTTAATATGAGATGCATATGTTCAAGGTGAATGAACCTTGCAGTGATGTTGAATAACCAAAGAATTAAATGCACCTTATAGAATAAAGAAATGATATAAATCAAAGTAGTTCATGTATGCTTATTTATGAATTCAAAGTGAGAATGTGAGATTCATGTATTCAAATGATTCATCCAGTGAATAAAGGTTGAATATATATATATTGGAGTTCTAATAAAGATATTGCCATTAAGTTTGACTAATTTGGTAAATTACTAGAACTAGTTGGCCATCAGACCACCAGGTCATCGTCATCGCTTGCTATTGGATATTGTCAAGAAATTAATATTAACATCTTAATAATTTAATTAAAGGGAAAATGACAAGAAAAGACTATTGAATTCTGAAATAACAAAATGTGCATGCAAATTACTGAAATGACAAAATGGGCATGGGGTATTAATATGGAATTTTGACAATTCGGTAAAAACATTGAAATACCCCTGAACTTGTCTGAAGACATGAAGAACACATGACAAGTAATAGCAGAAGAAAGAGAGGTGAGAAAACGAAAATGAAGCTGGAGCAAGGTCGAACGCTGAGAAGACGAAAAAGGTAAGGAAATTTTCCCCTAAAATGCTCCTATCTACTCCTCCAACTATCACCATTCTACAAATCTGATTTATTATGATGGAATTCCTTTGTGGTCAACTTGGTTTGCAATGAGAGAGGGGTTGAATGTGGGTATTACGTAAGAAAGTGGAGCTTAACGATAGGTTTGGGTTTTCAAGTCGGTTTACTGGTGCATGGTCGAATGGGGATGGGTTTATGAGTATAGATGGTTTAAATGAAGAATCTGATCAGGATGGGAGAGTGATGCATCAGAAATGGAAAAATAGTGGGAACTAATAACGTGGGCATGAAGTTTGAGGGCCAACAGTAAGCACGAGATGGTCAGTGTTGTTAAATTCATTATTGGAATTGTGAAATCCCATATTTAAGTTGTTAATGCAGCAAGTGGGTGTGTGCGTTTTTTGGGTATTGCATTTTTTGTGAAATCCTAAGAAAAGTTTTAAAATCCTGATAAATGAAATTGATTATTAGGGATCTAAAATATTGATTTATGCTTCTCTGGTGCAAGTTACATAGCTTTGATGACATCTAACATTGGGTCAACATCTTCAAAGCGTCTTGCTTGTTACTTTTAAGTGGGTGGGAACTTTGCAGAAAATGGTGATGGTGAAGTTAAGTACAATGGTGGAACTATCAGGGTAAGAGTGATAAAGGAGGGTATAAGGCTTGAAGATTTGAGAGTTATGATAGGAGGATGGTTTGGTGTAGATAGTAATGGTCGTGATATTAAATACACATTGGGCTTTAATGATAGGATATTAATAGATCTCATTGATGATGATGAAGTTGACAACCTATTTTAGTATAATGATAGTAATGCACGTGTTTACGTAGCAGCTAAAGGTAATGAGAATGCAGAGGAAGAAGTGGCTGATCAAAACAGGTAAGTCACAAATTTTTGGTTATGGAAGTTGTTAATTGCCATAATGTTGTTGTCAATATCATAACAAATGTTGTAATTATACATGCAGCATGTCAAAATTGTCGGGACTGTCACAGCAAAATGATGAGCCAATGATTCAGGATGTTGTCGAATGTGTGAATTACATAGTAGCTAAAAATGTTCTTAGCCTGCCATATGCAGTAGAGAGTACACCAACTCCTTTGTCAGGGATGAATTCCTTGAAATAGAAGACGATATTATTAGGATTGAGGCAGACTTTTGTAAATGCGGATGATTTCAAAAAGAAACTACACAAATTCAACATTGCAAACAAATTTGAGTATAAATATATGAAGAATTCTAATGCCCATATGTATGTCAAATGCAATGTTGAAGGTTGTCCATGGAAGATCAATGCGAGAGCAGCTGGAAAGAGTACTCCAGCATTTTTACGTGTAACGACATTAAAAAATGAGCATGTTCATAATGCCCAAGACAATCTTCACGTGACACATAATGGATCAGCTAGCTTGACATCATCAATTATAATTAAAGAGGTTAGGGATCATATAAACATGCGTCCAAATGATATAAGAAAGAGATTGGAAAGAGATTATGATGTGAAGTTGATATATAAGCAAGCATACAGGGCCAAGGAAAAAGCGTTGGAGGACATACATGGCAGACCTGATTAAACTTATATGCTTATTCCATGGATATGTGACCGGTTGAAGGAAACTGATGACAAAACAGTGGCAAAATGGTTGGCTACAAGGAACAACACATTTGAGTGTGTATTCATAGCCTATGGGTGTTGTATAGAGGGCTTTATTGCTGGTGCTAGACATGTAGTATATATTAAAGGAAGTCATTTAAGTGGACCATATAAGGGGACACTACTTTCAGTGTCAGTTTATGATGTGGACAATGAATTATTACCTTTTGCCATTGTGATTGTGAAGGGAGAGACACTTAAGGATTAGACATGGTTTTTATATATGATTGAGGAGATAGTTAGGTCAATGTAATTAATAATTATTTCAGACCGACACAATGCAATTATAGGCGCTGTCCAAACAATATTCAGAGGTGAGTGACATGCGTATTGTTACAGACATGTTAAGGAGAATTTTAGTGTGCAAATGATCAAGTTAAATAGAGGAAAAAGGAAGACAAGTGGCAACATAAGGGAGGATGGACTGCATTTCCTAGATGCCATTGCATATACAAGGCTTGACATAGAGTTTGATCAAGCAATGGATAACATGAGACACTTGAATTCCCAATTATTTGAATGGCTTGTCAATCATGGTGATATTCTCAAGCGGGTCTTAACCAAGTTCCCTTTTAAATAATGGAACAACATAATAACAAACCTTGTGAAGTTATTCAATGCGTGGATGTTGAAGGAGAGACAATATAATGTTGCCTAACTTATACATGAGCATCGTGAAAAAGTGGCCAGGAAGATGTATGCAGCAAGCATGGCAATGAGTAAATGGAAGAATGGTGTAGGCCTAAACAAAAATGCAACATTGATGGAAAATGTGGTGAGATCTGCACAAATATTAAGTGTTCCTTGCAAAAGGGGGAGGGTGTGTGTCCACATAGCAAAAGGAGCTATTAATGTTGATCTTGGAAAAGGTGAATGTAGCTGTGCAGCTTGGCAAATGTTAGGCATCCCATGCTCGCATGCATGTGCAGCTATCAAGGCCTTGAATTGCAATGTGTATGATTTTGTTAAAGAATGCTGCAAGATTACATCCCCAGCAAATGATTTATGGTAGGACAATGACTGCGGTGGTGACAATCAACATGCCAAATCCTAATAACTATTAGCTGCAAGATATAGCAAGTCAAGTGTTCTTAGCACCACCTTTGACTAGTTGATCGCTTAGAAGGCCTAGGATAAACAAGCAAGAGTTGCAGTTTCAAAACAAGAAGGTGTACTATTATAGCGCATGCAAGCAAATTGGCCATACAAGAAGAAGATGCAAGAATCTAAACCCAAGTTAAGGTTTGATGTCAATACCAACAGGGGTAATTTTTTTGGTAGGAATGGAATAACTTTTGAACCCTTTTTAATTTTTTTGGAAAAGGGGTGATAGGTAGGCTATCTTTTTTGTAAATGATGTTGATTAGGCAGGATATGTTATGTAATCTGAATGACAAGAAAACATTAGGCGGTGGGCTAATCTTAATGTTAGCTTGTCATTTGGATATCAGTTATGTAGCTTCTGTGATGTGCCTACTGGTTTTTGTTAAATATTATCACTTCAGTGGTCAATTCTATTACACATGTAGTAAAGTCTGAATGTAATGTAAACATTCTATGATGGGTGGGTTATCCTTTTTGTAAATGATGTTAACTGGGTAGGATATGTTCTGTAATCTGAATGACAAGGAAACAGTAGGTGGTGGGTTAATCTTAATGTTAACTTCTCATTTGAATATAAGTTATGTAGCTTCTGTCATGGGCCTACTGGTTTTTGGTAAATATTGTCACTTCAGTGGTCAATTCCATTACACATGTAGTAAAGTCTTAATGTTAATGTAAACATCCTATGTTCTTCAGGTGTACTTCTATGCTATTTTGTCAACACATTTGACCTTTTGTTTAATGCCCTCGAGATGGTGGAAGTTGCCAATGGGTATGACTGGAGTGGTTAATGTCATTAACGATGTTGTTATTCACATTACCAATGTTATTATTATCATTTTCGGGGTAGTGAAACTCCTTGAAAATATATGTTACTTGACTTTGAAATAAAGGAGCTGCAAATGGAAAAAGCAGAGAGGTAAATCTCATAACTAAAGTTGCAATTAACATTTCCAATGTTGTCATTATCATTACCAAGGTAGTGAAATTCCGTGAAAAAAATGATACTGGGTTTTAAATAGAGGAACTGGAGATGGAAATAGCAAAGTGGTGAATCTCATTATTAAAGTTGCAATTAAAATTTCCAATATTGTCATTATCATTACGAGGGTAGTGAAATTCCCTGAACAATTTGATGTGTGGGTTTGAATTAAAGGAACTGGAAATGGAAAAAACAGACTAGTAAATCTCATTACTAAAGTTGCAATTAAAATTTCCAATGTTGTCATTATCATTACGGGAGTAGTGAAATTCTCTGAACAATTTCATCCGTGGGTTGAATTAAAAGGAAATGGAAATGGAAAAAACAGACTGGTAAATCTCATTGCTAAAATTGCAAT